GACACAATGGTTGACTGACAGGTATGCCAGCACCTGACACAAAGGCCCCAAAGTCAAGTCAAGATCACAGCGACCAAACCTGAAGCATCCAACATTTTCAACACGCAGCCTTAAACAAGCAACAGTCCTGTTTGTGTCTACTTAAACCCCCTAAAGTGTCTCCAAATACACCCCTTAAAAAATCCAGAAGCTGAGAGAGCAGAGAGTAAGAAGACTTACCTTAGTGGAGAGCTCAAGTGAGTCACGCATCAGACTTCAGTGATCTGAGTAGCCCCATCGTGTCTGGTCAAACGTTAACCAGGGTGTTAACCATCAATGTTTTATTGGATCTAATGATTGTCTAATCAGCCTGCCCTCGTGTCAGGCTAGCCAATGGGCAGGTAGCTAAGAAAAGAATAGAGAAAAATAACAGAACAATGATATGCATAGTACTGTAAAACACAAATCTGTTACCATCAATATCAATTACTGATTTACCATGAATCCTCAAATGCTTCTAGTTTGAACAGAATGTGTGTAATGTCAGAAAAAAGGACTCAAAGGCTCTCACACCATTAGCCATGATTTGTACCTTTTCAACTGCTTGAGCATAAATTGTGAACAAAAAGAGAAACGTTAGAGTAAAAGTGACTAAATAACGTGGGAAATTTCTCCAGAAGCCTGCTGTTCGGCATCTAAGTTTCTAATTTCCCCTTGAACTTTGACCCCTGTGCCAGTTCTTGTCAGATTTCGCAGTAGTGGCTGTGCTCGATAAGGAGCTACAGGTATGTGTGTGTAGACAAGGACCAGATCACACTGACAATCCATTGCCTCATAAGAATCTAAAGCTATATGGGGTCATCCAGGTGAGTGAGTAGGTCAAAGCACATACCGTGAAAATCAAGCTCACAATCTCAGTTCTTGATAAATGTCCAAAAGGTGACTTAAAAGACAGGATGTACGTCTACAGTATATTTTGTCATTGATTTTTGTTCTTATCTTCATGACCCAACCTCACATAAAGGGATTATCTTTTATACAACCTCATGCACAAGCTGCTGTGTCGGACCCAAGGCAAAAATGTGCATGAACCTGTTAACTGTAGAAAAACAGGCTGCGAGTGAGTCACTGCTTCACAGAACCACTATATAACCAGAACCTGTGACTGCAGCAGCTGAAGCCATTAATTCCAATGGAAGTGACTTTGTTATATAAACAGTGGGTCCATACATTGCTATGATGGATGCATCAGTACCATCTGCCTGTTGCTCCACGGGCAGAACATACAAAACACACACACACACACACACTTCCTGGGCTCCTCTGAATGTTACCTTGGCAACACATTTTTTGGTTTTTAGCATTTTTTCCAGCAAAACTGAGTTAGGGATGAGAGTAAGCAGTGTCTGGACATGATGTTCGGTGTCACACTCTGACCCAAATCTCTGATCAGTCAAATTGTTGTAGCCAATCAGCTGGTATACACACACACACACACACACACACACACACACACACACACACACACACACACAGGACTAATGTTATTTCTGGAAGTGCAGCTTTAATGTCACCACCTGACTCATCTTTTGTCACCTCAATTTTTCTTAAACGGCGATTGTGTAAGTGCATCTGTCATGTGTCAAAGCTGAGTCAGCCATGGTAAACTGTCATTAGCAAGGCTGACATGCCAGACAAAAGGAACGGAAAGTTGTTTTTTTTTAACCCAAATCAAATGCAATCACTATTTTACCAGGCACTGCTGAAACTACATTCAAGTAGCAAAATATAGTACTTTAACAATCTGATATTTATTACAGTAAATGTAAAATACAAGACCTTATAAATAATGTCAAAGTACCTTCTAAAGGATCTTCATTAAAAAAAATTAAAACAATCACAAAAAAATCTTCAATAACTTAGCACTTGGGGACTGACAGTTGACAAATTTGATAATGAGAGTAAAAGGATGAGGGAAGAAAGCAGAGAAGAGGCTAATATTGTCTTTGCACAAAAAACAGACATGAACAAACATTTCAGCTTCCATCAGCTGATCTCTGACCTCCACACCAGGTGTCCAAGAGACACAAATGTCACTTCATTGTCATTAATTATCCTGACAAACTGAGCTCAATCCACTCAGTCTAGTTTAGACTACAACATAGCACTGTAGAAATGTTGAACCTCTGGTATACACCTTCCTCACTGTGTTGAAAGTGGATGTGAACACAGAGTACTGACTTTGAAATTATGAAGCCTTTAGAATCAGGCTTCCCTCCAACCCATGTCCGCACATCCTGTTCTTCAGGCTGGGACTTGCTCACCTCCTCAGTGGTTTGGTGTCTGTTGGGCCCCTACAGCACAGAGAGGTCATGGCAGGACTTGGACTTGAGCCAGACTGCCACACTGGGATTGTTCCTTGCCATCACCTTGTCTAGGAAACGTCTGGCCTTCATAGGAAGGCTCTCACGGCGTGTGTTACAGTTTATGTGCTTGCGACGTTTGTTGGCCTCCTTGGAGTCTCGGCGTAAACGCAGCTGTCGCACTATACCGCGGAAGGCCTCCCAGACGTTGTGCTGCATGGCAGCTGAGGTTTCGATAAACTTGCAGTCGAACACAGCAGCACAAGTACGGCCCTCTGAAAGAGAAAGTCAAAAAGTCAGTTCTTGCTCATCATCACATACAAACAGCCAAGGACTGTGTCTCCTCCTCACCGCTGACTGACACCTCCCTGCGTCGCACCAGGTCACACTTGTTCCCCACCAGGATGATTGGTGTGTGCTGGGCAGGACGAAAACGGCGCAGGGTTATCCGAAGCTCCGAGGCTCGCAGGAACGAGGCCCTGTCAGTTATAGAGTACAGCAGCAGGTAGGCATCACCTGTCTGCATGTAGCATTCCTGGGCCCACTCACTGTCGGTCTGAAACCCATACAGAAACACACACGGTTAGCACATAGAGTAGGACACTCGGGCTGATGTGCTGTCTCCTCTGATCCTCATCTCACCTCCGCATCCCATGTGTCCAGCAAAGTTACTGCTGCTGGTTCCCCATCCACTTCAATCACCTTTTCACACATTTCATCTGAAATGACAGACGGAACAAACACACAGCTCTACATTAGTGAAATCATAAACTATCTTTTTGTAGACAATGTGTTGGGCATAATTATACCACCATTCATATTATTATTATTATTATAGGAAAGGAACAAGTGCATGGCTCACAGTGTTGACTTATTCATATATGATGGCATTTATCTTATCTTTCTGTACTTTAATGTCCATGAAGATTTTACAGTTTCTTTATAAGAACGTAGTCTGATTTTACTTCTATTCATCTAATATTTTCTATAAATTTAGGACAGATCTGTTGATCAGTAATGACAGTACAACAGACTTCGGTATAGTGGTAATCGTTTCTCACCTCCACACAGCTCACAGTTGTCACTGTCCATACTGTCCGCTGCCCCGGCGAAGATGCTGGCGAAGGCCGTTTTCCCGACCCCGCTGGCCCCCAGCAGCACCACCCGGTAGGGGCTCCTGGGTTCTGACGCCTCCCCAGCGGAGTCGGTGGAAATAACAGAGTCTGAGGACGACCAGCTACCGCGGCTGCCGTCCGACTCCCCGGCGGAGCTAGTGCACGACTTGGAGCGGGAGATGCATGTGGGAACCCGGGCCAGCAGACCGTCCGGGAGCAGGTGGCTGCCGGGGTCGCAGATGCTCCACCGGTGGAGCTCGGTCTGCAGGCGCAGGCTGTGTCGGCGCACAGTGGACAGCATGGTGTCAAAATGAGGATGAACTGGATTAAACGAGAGCGTAGTAGTGCGTAACTGTCTTATCCGAGCAAACACCCTCAAAATAAAGTAAAAAGACCCGGTTTCTTTACAGAAAAGTCGTCTTTACGCTCTGTTATCGCCTCGGATCAACACGTTTCCGTGATTTACTTGAGGCAAAAATGTGCCATAAGGTTTGTTCCATAATTATCAACCGGACAGTAAAGTAAGACTGGGTTTGTGCTCTGCACCTCTGCTGCAGATGTAACTGGGCGGTAAGTTACTGGTCCATCATTAAAGCTGAGGGGGAAAAACTGTTGAAGCTCTTTCAACACAGACCGAGTTTAGATGCAAAGACGCGCATTGCGCTGAAAAAACAAAGCTTAATTCGGGTATCGCAAAAACATTTGAGTGGAACATCCCGGAGCCACATTTCCATCCGATGTTTTCTCGGTGTGCCTGCTGCCGTGTCTCCCAACCTCCGATGCCTTGATGGGGTTTCCCTGCAGTTTATACAGAGGAGGGTGGAGGATGAACGTTTGTGGGTATTTACTGTTGTAATTATGCAGACACAGTCAGGTATAGGCAGGCTGCTCGCATTAAAGCCTGTTTACACCAAAGCCCACTCATTTTACAATGGGGATTAGAACAGTGTTACAAAGAAAAGCAAAGTGCATAACAAAAATACAATTTGAAAAACGCACTGTTGATTAATTCAGCATGCTACAACCAAGGGCTACTTTGTTTGGTGGCCAAGTTATCTAATGTTGGCAAACCTCAGTTTATTAACTGACCTTACTGAATGCTGTGCTGTTAGTAGTTAAATGGCTTGAAACAGTTTATCTTTAACCCATAACTGTCATTTGTAGCTGCAGCACAAAAGTAAGTCATATTTTTGTAATTACGCTTTACTTAACAGTACAACAGAAATATGTAAACATTCACTGTGGAGTTGTTGGAGTAAAATGGCAAAAGAGCTGCTTATCTGGACTCAACCACACAGTTCTCTGTAAGTTAAATACATGTACTCACTCCATTTTATCAGTTTTATAAGTACATTTTCTGTAGATTTGATAATGTTGTGTATAAAAACTGTACTGATCAGAGTAGAGTGCCAGAGGAAGAGTGAAAGATGAAGGTCCTGGACTGAAATGGCACCTTTAAGAGTCTGTGGGGGAAAAAATATCCAGTCTGTAAATGCCACCTAACAAAACAATACAACTCTCAATATTTTATTTGCTTTGCACAAGTAAACATATCAATATAAAGGCATTTTACTTGAGAAGTAAACATATCGATATAAAGGCATTTTACTTGAGAGATGCAGCCTTTTAAGGGGGTTTCATTCCAATAACGCGTTTCCCGGCAAATGACAAACACTGACAGTGAGACACAGTACTTCTTGTGCCACGACAGTGAATGCTGCAGGAATATTTGTAGCTGTCTGAAACATCAACACCAATATCTGTTTTTCTCTGGGCACATTTTGTGTTAAACGTCAGTAACAAGTGGAAAAGCCTTTTAAAAGTAAGATTATTAAATTTCCTCCAGAAACCCACATAAGCATTTTCTGATCTGACGTCCATAATGACAAGATGACATTACACAGCATCACTGTGTAATTTACTGATCTGACACCACTATGGTTTAGATTTGGTTAAGGTAGAAAGAAAAAAAAAGCACAAAAATGATCATAAAGGATGCACCACAGGCTGCAGAGATTAAATTTTTAGAGGGGAACTTTCCTTTAATCTTTCAGTATCAGTACAAGTTAAGAGAACAGTTGCTCCTACTTCTTCATTCTGCACTAAACTGCAGTCTGAATTATTCAATGTGTCTGACAAAGTCAGTTGATTTATAAATGTTGGCATTCAGTGCAGGTGTTGATCATAATAACTGACCCAAACCTTCACTGCAGCTTGTTCACCCTGATAGATAATTGACAGCCATGACTGACCAAACTGGTCCAACTAAAAAAAGCCCACAGGAGGTATTATTTTAAGAAGTGTGTTTGATTTACTCAACTACATCTGCTTGGATTAATGATTTTAACACATTTCTTCCTTTTTTTAATAGAAAAGTTAAATACAAGTTACTTAACAAGCTCCTCTCTCACAATCATGTTTGTTTTTCTCTATAATGCTGTAAGGTCCAGACCTTCCTGTGTAAAGTGCCCTGAGATGATTTTTGTTGTGATTATCGTTGGGAATGCAAACAATGATAGTTAGCATGCCTGACATCCATATTACATAATCTGCTGTCACCAGCATACTATTAATGGTTTGGACACCACCAGCTGGTGTTTTGTGACTGACCCATAAAGCAAATGCCTGGGGAGATCCTGCATCACGTCACATATTCAGTCCACTCATAAACATTAGATTTTGCTTTGCGCATGAGAGAAAGAACAATTGAGAGCAGGGAGAGTTATCGCAGTAATTGTGGGATTATGCTACTTTCACGGCTGTTGTTTTTCAGGACTTCTGTACCAGGCTGCGGTCTTAACCGCAGGACCTGCTGCTATGTATTACAGCCCTGATCTGATCCGATCCGCCTAGCTGATGATTGGGCAACATTAAATCCTTGTTAAGTGCTGGAGTGGGACCAGGGACAGAAGGAAGGAGGGCTGTGCTCTGTCTGGCTGCAGACTGGCCAGGGTGTTGGTGATGGCTACGGATGCTGACTGAGAAGTGACCTCTTTCTCCATTTTGCTTCATGCCAAATGCAGTGTTTCATAAGGTCAGCCAGAAAGTATAGACAGGGGGAAAAAATCCCGGGGGAGGATCCATTGACAGCAGTGCTTGGTGGTTCAGTACAGCCCTGTTCACTTTCACACACTTGCACTTTCCCAGCTGGAAGCTGCTTGGTACAACACCAGTCTGATCCGATAGCCACTTCTAAGTAAAATGGCATCGAAGAGCCGACATGCTATTATGGTGGATGGTAATGCAAATAATAATGCTAATGGCTTGCACTCTGCCCTGTGCAAAGTGCACTGGGCTCAAAAATACCCCTGCAACCAGCGGCCTGGCCATCAAGACTCTGCTAAACATTTAGCTCCTCCATGGAGGTTCAGAATTCACAGAGAATAAACCTCCAATCTGTGATTCAGTCTCTTCATTAAAACAATGTTTCCCTTTCTCCCTGAGTCATTCATTCAATCCGTACGGCAGGGCTTTGAGCTGACGGGCTGGGATGCGTGGCTTAAAAGAGAGCTCTGCAGGGCAGCCAGCAGTGGTTAGTAAGAGCTTTACACAGACAATATCCATCTCAGGCACACACCAGCACATGGCCCATGAGACTTAAGAGAAATGATCTGGATCAATATCCTGCTTGGACGAGTGGCACTTGTTTGTCGGACATGTGTCCAATACAAACACCAAAGCACTGCTGCCTGCAACACACAATGTGATTGCTCAGAAACAAGCACAGTGTCTTAACACTGTGAAAGCCAGGCCAGGGCAGCAGCTATAATAAGTTGCTTGGTGACAGTTGCTATGGCGCGACTGGTTTCAACAGTCCATTTTTTAATTGTGTCTGTCCACCACTCTGGTCCAGACTGAAATGTCTCAATAGCCACTGGATGAATTGCCATGAAATTTTCTACAGACATTAATGTCCTCTCAGGGTGAATTGCAATCACTTTACTTATCATGTCTCATCTACACCATCATCAGGTGCCTCAGCTGTATTTTGTGCTCAGTGCCAATTAGCACAGACTAGCACACTAATTTGCTAATCGTTATTCATTAAATAAGTCCAGCAGGATAGGATCATCACTGTGAGAAACTGAGATCAAACTTTTAGTTGATTCTGCAACTATTTTTATGTTCAATTATGAGGTCTTTTCAGGCATTTTCACCTTTTCATTGGACAGCTGAGAGTAAAGAAGCAAATAGGAAATGAGGGGAGACAGAGAGGGGACCGACATGCAACAAAGGTCAGCAGCTGACCAGGACACTGTGGCCATGTTGTAGACATGCTAACCAGGCAGCCGCAATGAAGCCCTGAAGTCATTTTTTAAGATATCAGCTTGGCCTGTGAGAAAATTAATGGGCACAATTTGCTCACTGCTGCGATTTAAAAATCATAAAATAATGTAGATTAACTGATAATGAAAAAATAATTACAGCATAAATGGGCATGCTAGCATTTAGCTTAATGCCCCACTTTGAGCCTCAGAGTTGCAGACTTAGTCTAATTTTATTATCCCAAATTAATGAGCCACACAGAAAACTACACAGCTGATAGTACATGTAATATCTAAGGCCAATATGAGGCTGGCGACTTTTAATTGTGGCGCAGGACTGGCATTATCAGTTTAAATTCACACTGTGGTCACAAAGCAGCAGCAGGTGTCTGCATAATCGCCACACTGCCACCAACACATTGCAGACCTTCAACTGTCATGCATAAATGGAAAGTGTAACAATCCAGAGACACAGTCATTACATAACAGGGTTGCTTAACATACAGTGGTGATCATCCAATAAATAACAATTACCCTCTTTATGTAAAGTCACACACAATACTTGCTGTCAATCTGACAGAGCTGAACACAAATCATATGTGAATTCAGAGCACACACAGAAGCACTGAACTACAAAGCTCCCACGCAGCAGCTTTGTGTTGAAGAGCATGAACAGGCCAGTCTTATCCAAATAACAGACTGAACAGATCACAGCATGTACCACATGTAAAACCCAGCCGACTTACAAGACACTAATGTGCATAAACTGTGACATTAAAGCACAAACATTTTGGCTAACCTGCACGTTCTTTCCTTCTTCAGACTGAATTCAGCTCTGGATGAGCTGAATTGAATCTATAAGGAGCCATAAACTAGATTCTTTTGAATGAATGGCTGTATGCACATTCTCTACATACCACCCAGGCACTGTCACCTAAGCAGGCCTCAGGTGACTGTAGATCCCTTAATTAACAGAGTTAATATTACTCCACACGGACTTTCATTTGTTTAATGGAACACATTTTTTAAAAAATACACAAACAAGAAAACACAATATTGTAAACAGTTATATAAAACATTTGGAAACTGTTTTGTTGTTGCTGGCAGTTGCTGAATGTGCATCAGTTCAGTGTTTAGTCATACGCTGGAATCAGGCTGCAGACAAAGCCCAGAACCTCAAGACAAACATGTAGAAGATATATATGAGTGAGTCATCTATATCTAGAGTGCAATCTGGTGGGCGCTTGCTTACTGAGCGCTGTGCGAAATGGTTGTCTGGAAAGCAAAGGTGATGTGGGTTCGTGCGTGATCGAGGTAGGGGTCTGAGAAGGTGTGTGTGTCACCAGAGAAGTGCCTCCACTGCATCAGCTCCGACATGCTGAGATGTTTCTGTGCCGCCCCTCCGCAGTCACCTTTACGGCCGAGCTGGCATGGCCTATCAGTAGCCGGCTCCTCCTCCTCTATGGTGGCTGAGGACGAAGACAAAGTGAGATAATGAGTCTCGGTGAAGTCAAATACAGTGGAATCTCAGTTTTCGTGATTAATCTGTTCGAAAAAGTCTGACGAAAACCGAATCGTACAAAAACTGAAGCAATATTTCCCATAAGAAATAATGTAAATCCAATTAATCTGTTCCAGACACCCAAAAGTATTAACAAAAAATACATTTTATAGAGAATAACTATATTTTTACATACAAAGCAATGAGAAATAAATATAAATGACTAATGAAATGGATAAATGAACATTTAACATCACTTTTACCTTTATTGAAGACTCTTGTTAGCGTATGGAAGATGGCGAGGAGGGGAGAGGGAGGAGGACAGGTTATTGTTTGGAAGGGGAATCCCCCTCCATAAGGACTTCATGTATCAAGGCCCTATCTGGGATTACTTCCCTTCACTCATTTCTTCCGGGAAATGAGTGGCCGAGTCACGCGGGCAGGCAGACGAGTTTGGTACGGACTAATGACGCTGAACCGACCAATCAACGAAAACCGAGCGGATGTACGAAAACAGACAAAATTTTGACGAAAAAAGTCTTCGAAAACCGAATCGTACGAAAAGTAGGGCATACAAAAACCGAGGTTCCACTGTACTGGCCGACCTGTCAGCCTTGAACAGTGTCTTTGTGTAACACCTGCCTGGTACATAAATATCACTCTGAAAATAAACATCATTTCATGTTCAATTATTACTCTGCAGATCCCTGATGGCTGGTGTCGCCTACTGTCTCTTGAAGTGACACCAAAGCTACTCATTTGTCAATTATTTCCAAATCTTGTGCTACGATTGGGTGAACTCTTCCTCTGCTTCTTTTGCTTTAGGGCAGGAAGACCTTTGTTTATGGGTTAGACACTTGTTGGGGTAAACTAAGATGACTGCACTACAGGTCAAACTCACAAGGTGTCACCATCTTTTTGTGTACTTTAGAGTAACAAATCACACCAGTGTAATTTGATACACAAAATGCGTACAGGTTGGCAGGTCTATACTGGTGTTAGTGTGCCTACCCGGGACTGATCCGTCCATGCTGCAG